CGGCCTGCATGTTGCTTCTTTACGCCACTTTTAAAAGAGCCCAGGTTGTAAGAGGGAAGGTACACATGAGCGGAAAGAGCATTCCATTTAAGGATAGTGCTACAAAGAAATTAGTCACCAAATTTCTTTGTACGCGTTGGAATTGTGGCCACAGTTAGACGGTGACAACGTAGGCCAGTGCGCGTGGTCCTCTGAAGAAAAGAATTGCTGCATTTTCGGTCAAGGGTGCCAAATGGAACCCTATTAACTCCTGCTATTGTCTATTTGTCTGTAGTCGCGTACCTCCATCTCAATAATGGAAATAGGTGTAAAATTTTCACATAACGCGTGTTACTGTGGCCGTCGCGTCGTTATCGTAATATCAAAATAATTATAGATCTAGATAATTCCACTTACGGTCTTCCTAATTTGTGAAAACTACTCGCGCTTAAATCACTAAAATAATGTCATAATCGCAGAACACAGAAATAGGTTAAAAGGGTTAGTATAGACTGTTTGTATGGGTACCGACGTCTCCGGCTCGAGCTCACTACACTTCCACCTAAAAGATAATAGCGAATCAAACGACGCGACATCAAACAATCGAGCCAATCAGCGCTCACATCCGGGAGCAATGACTCAATCAGGACCAAGTTTTGGTCAAGTTTTGAGCATTTGCTCACACAACTGTGGCTCGCCTGCTCCGCCTACAAGGCCCTTCTAACCTATTTCTGTGTTCTGTGGTCATAATGGATGGCTAAAATGAACGATGTAGTATTGAAAGCTCTAGATGATTTGTATAGTATTGCTGAATACTTTATGTGATTAAAAGACGGGCCTAGGGAGAGTGCACTGTTGCAGTTTCCACAGTGACTAATTAATGCTGTTAGCCCGCACGCTATTCGAGCTAACAGAATTATGTACAAAACTGATTATCTATTTCGGCTGTCCCACACCAAAACACGGTTCTTCCACTTCCAGCAAATTTTACAACTAAGCAAAAAAAACAAAAGAAAATGATTTTAAAGATTTTTTTGAAACTATGTACCTATCTAAAGCTCAGTACGACTGTTGGAGATGGTAGATAAGATTACTTTCAAAATTTTTGTACATTAAAAGTTTAAAAGTACATTTCGGTGCACGTTTCACGATACTTACTAACTTTGAAATTAGATCAAAAACTAACCAGTTTCATTTACATCAGACGCCCCGCCCCTCTCCCGGAACGGATAGCGCCAAATCAATGTCTTCTCACTAATTTAAACCCTTACCCCCTTAATAATAAACGAGGAATAAGCTTAGGCTAGTTACGCTGTGTTTTGTTCATATCACTCGACTGCCTAATGTCATTCAATGAACAGAGACAAAACATGGAGTAACTAATACAAGCTTAGTCTGCGTTTATTAATAACGGGGTTATTGTGTAATTTGTAGATATTACAGTTTTTCGGACATGTTGATCCCAAATAAAACACCTAGCAAGTGACAATCCCCAATCCAAACACACATTTGCCTTGCTGTGTTGTAGGTTGCTGATCAACACTTAGGCCCGTATTACAGAATGACAACTAAGTGTTGTTTTTTACTTGAGTACAGTTAGAAAGGGATGTCGCTATGTGCTATATATAGCGACATCCCTTTCTAACTATGCTCAAGACTAGATCAATCACTGAGAATCTTTCTATAATACGGGCCTTACAGTCTGTGCGGAAACAGAATGCGTGTGGCGAAAAACGGAACTAACATTAAGATTTTTATTTGGCAATCAAACCCAGCAATCTGTAAAACGTCAAAAGTTTTGTATTGATACGGATTTGTTTGTTTTTATGATTTCTTGCAGTTTTTTGTATTTAATCGTGTCTTAAAGGGGTAAAACCTTACAAATACGGTAGAAAAGCACTACAGCGCCCTCCAATCTAAATCCCATTCTCGTTCCGCACAGGTTTTATGGTGTCACTATTTTAAGAATGGAGGCCTTTATTCACTATTGAATTGTAGCAAGCTTCCTGTAATTTAATGTTGTAACTGTTAAGTTATCAAACTAATAAATTAATTGATAATAATACACGCGATGCTAGAAACGCATTTCGATTGATTGTTTTAGAATTATTATAACTGGATTAACATCATCCCCACTTTTGTAACTTTTGTACTATATAACAGTATAACTATGTTAAACTATTATTATTATTATTTTGTTGTATAACATACTTTGTTGTATGCTTATGGCGCAATTAAATGAATGGAGTCGAGTACGCAAGTATGCGTTTTGGTTCTCCCTAATTTGGCATAATTGCAGTACGTTCCAACAGGACCGCGGGTGCAGGGTCGTTTGCTCATATTCCCGTACCCGAACGTGACTAAAACAATATCGGGTGTCCGAAATCGAGTAATGTCTTTTGTGCACCCGAATACAGGCTAACGAGCAAGTGTAATTGCGCTTGTTAGTTTGGAAGCAACGTAAGTTACATTTTGTGGACGCAACTCTTATGCTTCTGAGAAGTAACGTTACTATTTTCGAGTATGTAGCGAGCCCAACTTTTGGTATGTTACCCAAAAGGTAAAAATGGATAGCTATTGCTGTCATCTGTCGTATGTCTGTCTGTCTGTCCGTATGTCACGGGATCTAGATCGTAAACGGAATGAGTTACTGAACTGAAATTGGTATTTAATGCATAATGCATTTAGCATTCTAATTTTTGACTAAATATTAATTTATATAGTTAAAAATTCCATACATGAAAAGGCGTACATTCTCAGTAAATAAATTGGCTAGATCTATGAAGGATCTAGTGAACACATTTTTCTCAATAGATCCTAATTTCAAACTATGGATCTGCGGAGATTTTTCTCTCTCAGCATGACGGCTAGATCCATACTGAATGCCTGAAATATCTCAAAGTTTGTTCTTGCTTGTGATTAAATGTTTCATGTTAAATAGAATAAATATGGTCACCGGTTATTTCTCTATATCTATTTCAGGTTATAGGATTAATAATATAATCATTCAGGAATGATATGCTTATGGTATGTTTTAACTGTAATGTTATTATTTCAGTTTTCCAAAAAGAAAACATTACTCCGGAAAAAGTGCTAAGAGACTTGGCTGATGTTTTGATTATTGAAATAAAAAAATAGTCTTGTTTAATATCTGGTTCTGAATAAGTTTTTATCACTGTTTCATAAACATAACTTTTTAGGACTAATGATTTTATAAATGGAATCTTGGTTTGGAATGTGCCAAAGGATCCTCATTATCTAAAAAATATATACTCAAAGCCATGATAAACAAAGTTCTTGTGAGATCCATTATGGATTTATCCAATATATCTACTGAGGGAGAACCTGAAAAGGAGACGAAATGTGTTTTTTTATTTTTTACCCCTACATGTGACGCATCTTGTCTAAAGCTTGTTGAGTAGGATATAAATATATTTTTTTTGTATAATCAGAACAAACAGATGGGTCGAAGATGTATTTTTAGACCATTTTTGTTACGTCTATCTCAAAAAGCGAAACCAGTTAAGAATGTAAAATTTTTAATATATGAAGTCCCATAATTACTGTAATTCAACAACAAATACTAAAAACATAATTTAATAATTATTTAAGTGGGGCCATGTGTCGGGGTATTTTGCGGGTTGTTAATTAACAGCAACTTTTGCGATAGCGATGTTCTTCTATATATACGTATATTGATATATAGGTAGACACAACAACTATAAGTCTCAAACAAAAAATATGTTTATAAGGTATTGAGGCTCATTTGTTTATAAGGTTTTCACGCACATTATTTATTAAATAAAACAAATTTGAACGGGTTAGATGTGCTGATTTTATTTATTTATTGACGTTTTGCATCCTTTGCAGGAATGCGTCGTCGGAATAATCGACGTATTTACCGACCGACCGATATTCCGACTATGCATTCCTGCAAAGGATGCGTAACTAAAAGCGCTAACTGACATGCCTGCCGCAGGGACAATCTAGGGTGCATGGCGGTCGGCCCAATATCGGCTTGTCTCTACACATATGCCTGCTATTCAGTGTTTGGGCGTATGTTGAGCTAAACACACGCGTTGGTGATGGTCCCAGTGTTATAAAAAATATGTTACCGTAAAAAAGGAAATACTGGGTGTAGAATTGGCAACGGAAAGAAATGTATTGTAAATAAATAATGTTTAAGATTAGAAAAAAATCCACGCGGACCTGGCAGCAGACGGGACTCGAACCCGCACCCTTCGCTATCCGGGTGAATGCACTGATCAATCATGCTACCGCGGCCCTGACGGCCGTATCGAATTCTTTCTAGCCTTTCTTAAGCTGCAAGGCAGCGCCATCTCTTCGCATTATATGTAACCCACAATGTCAAATGAATACCTTTACAATTATTTAAAAGAAGAAATAGCAATTAAAGTCATAATTTAAATTTTTTAAGCATGTCACTGCTCAATATTTGAATCTAAAGAAAAATATTACAAGAAAAATAAAAAAATTAACAATTTATATTTTTCTAGTAATATTTTTTTAGATTTAAACATTGAGCAGTCACAAACTTAAAAAATGAAAATTATTTAAATAAATATATAAATAATGTTTGTTTTTTTAATCCCACATGTGGGGCCGGTCTTTATATACTTCGGTTATTCGTGTTCAAACTTCATCTCATCATGATTTGCCGCCATCTTGATCGAAATACGTGAGCTGCGTGTGACAGCTACTAACCGACTGATTGAGAAATTGGCCCAATCGCGCTACACACGCGGCAACGTGCAGGGCGGTTGGGACAATCTAGTGAGCAAGGGTCGTCGCGCGCCGCAGGCCCGATTTAGAAAATTGCCCCAACTTGCCTACACACATCACAATTCAGGAGGCAATCAAGGGTCATCCCCACTTACACCCTAGATTGTCCCTGCGGTAGGCATGTCAGTAGGCGCTTTAACCCGTTGAAACTTGTTTTATTCTATTAAGGCTTGGTGACAAATACAGTTTACGTTAAAAATGAGTGTTTTGTTTTGCAGTCACTGTTATCTTATCACAAAATGCAAGGAGTTATATACGGCCTAAACGTTACAGTTTTATATCTAGGCGGCTTCAAAGTGGCCATAGTTATGTGGATATATGGGGTACAGAGGTTCTCAACCGATATACGCTTTTGGCTCGGCTTCAACCCGACAAAGTTTTGGAGAATATGCTGGTCCTTCATGCCCGTCGTACTTTTCGTGAGTTTTTACTTTCAAAATAGTTGTTAAATAGTTAGTTTAACTTTCAAAATAGTTAGTAGGTTTGAAGTGATAAGTAATAACATTAGATTTAACTGTGAGTGGTATGCACTACTGTCCCGTTGCGGAATCTTATTATTATTTTTATTTTAAGCATTAAACTCAGCCTTATACTTTTGTGAAATAAATATATTCGCATTATCAGGCTATTAATTTCCACACTGCTGGGGCACAGGCATTTCGTATGGATGGAATAGGGAGATTGGGCCATGACACACCACGCGGGCACAGTGCGGATTGATCCTAATGACTGCAGATGCAGCCGGGGCCAATAGATTAACGTGCCTTTCGAAGCACGAAGGAACTAGAGATAGAAGATTTTTGGTCACCCATCCAATGACCGGCCACTTCGAAAGTTGCTTAACTTCAACGGTCGCAGCGGAACGCGCTTACTACCTGCGCCATTGAGCTGCCCCCACCCTTTCTTTTTTAATTTACATCTTGAATAAAACTAGTTTTGACGAAACTTTATTTATTTATTGACGTTTCGTAGTCTTTACAGACTACGACGTCAGAATCAATCTTTTATTTAATTTGTCGAGCTACCTTCGAAAGACTTTTATTGAGCGTTCGGTTATTTCATTGTTCGATTTTTAAAGTTTTATTTGTCTCTGTATGAATTTATCATTTAATTTACTGAATAAAGTATTTTATTTAAAATTCTTTTTTGTAATTTTGAGTTTATTTATTTGACCCTAACTACCGTAAACTACCACCGGTTCCAAACTTGGGAGACCTTTCTGAGAAGAACCGGCGAAACAAACTCAAGAGATTTCTATCTCCTTCTTATGTTAAGTTATGCAAACAAAAAGAACTAATAGTATTTGTTGGTCTTGCAGTGTGTGCTCGGGGTTGGGATTTTATCTCCTGTATAATGGGTTCCCAAGCTGGTGGTATATACCAACCATCTTCCCTATTGAAATTTGGATATTTTTTAATCTCAATAGCCTCGCGCATCATTCGAGGAACGAATCGCTTCTCAGTTGCAAGGATCCGTGGCTTATCAAATCTAATGTAATGGTTTGGTCCCCCTAATGCATGTTCACACACTGCAGACTTATTTTTGCGCCTATGTTTCATATCTGCGATATGTTCTTTTACCCGAGTCCCTATACTCCTCTTTGTTTGCCCGATGTAGGAGAGCCCACAGTCGCATTCAAGTTTGTAGACACCAGCTACTTGAAAGGGTATATTGCACTTGACCGGTCGTAGAAACTGGTTGATCTTCTTTGGCGGCTTGAAGTAAGTATTGATTGAAGCACGCTTCAGAATCCTCCCAATCTTGTCAGTGACTCCTTGCATGTAAGGTAGTATAGCAGGTTGTCGGTCGACTGTGCTAAGTTTGGCGCGACTGTGACGGCGACGTGGTACATTCAGGTTATTATCCTTCAGTTCAGCTTGACATGCTGAAGTTCAGCTGCCAGGTGTTGTTTCGCACGGTATTTTACTGTGGGTAAATACCGCCGACATTCAAACTATATTTGTGTTGCAGAAGAGAGGGCTATTCGATCAATTTATAATCTTTAAGTCAATAATCAAGGTTGCATTACAAGATATGAAAACTGAATAGTTGTAGAAAATTTTACAAGAAAAAATCCACTCTGTCCAGTACCCTTAGAACGAACCAATATCGAATTCGAACAGTTTGCGAGTGCGAAATGTCATTGTCATATTTTGTATGGAAACTTGAACAGCAGCGCCACAACGGCGGTAACGAGACCTTAAAAATTCAGTACATATTTGACAATGACTTTTCGCACTCGCAAACTATTCGAATTCGATATTGGGGGCCAGGTTTCAGGCGTGACTGGATCTGGACCGAGTTGATCTCAGCACTTGCTGATTTTCTTGCTGGTTTTTTTTAGTACGAGGTCTTCCGAACTGATGCATAGCTCCTTAACATTCACGAGTGGTTGTGACAGCCTAAATTGAAGAAATGATTTTTGTTGGAGTTTAGAGTATCCCCCGTTGCACAACTGACCTTCCATAATACACAGAATCGATATTGGTTGGTCTTGGGGGACAGGTTTCAGGCGTGACTGTATCTGGACCGAGCAGATCTCAGCACTTGCTGATTTTCTTGCCGGTTTTTCTTAGTACGAGGTCTTCCTAACCGATGCGTAGCTTCTATACATTCACGAGTGGTTGTAACAGCCTAAATTGAAGAAATGATTTTGAGTTGCAGTTTAGAGTATCCCCCGTTGGGGAACTGACCTTCCATAATACGCAGAATATCACAAAGGAAGAACTGGTTAAAATAATAGCAGTGCTGTTTGGTTTATAATAATTACAATAGGTACCCAGTTTTTTATACCACTAAGCCAACGCCAAATTAAGCAGAAATTCCAATTGGTATTACAAATAGTATTTTTTTTTAACAATATTATCTTGAAATCAGTCCTCGTGACAATGAGCAGATTAGTTGATGGGAATGATGTGTTGGGTTAGACGTTCCATCGAGCTTCCAACTCATATCTGGTTTATCCTAAGCAGTTTTTGTTACATCCGGTAGTTTGCGCCTTTTCAGATGTATCATGTAATCCGGCAGTTTTAATTGTGTAGCTATCTGTTTTGAATGTTTAAACAGTCATTTTCGATATTTGTCCAATGTGTGACAGATTTCCTCACTGACAGTGTTGATATGAATATATTGCTGAACTTCTGAGTTGCGATTGAACCCTAGGAGTATTTGAAATCTGCTTCAGGAAATACTTCTGCGCCCTTTGGATTTTGTTAATATGAGATTCATTTGCTGAACCCCACAACTCAATTCCATAGGTCCAAATAATAATTATCGTATAATAATGTGAAAAAGGTAATAGGTATTAAATAAATGAACAAGTTTCATGAATTAATATTTGCACACAATATGATTAATGGTGATCGACCGAACAGACACTGAAATTTATTTGTAAACAATTTAAATTAACATTAATTTTCGGTTCGTGTTTATCAATACAAAAGCCATAGGAAAGCTTGCAATTATTGGTTGTAGTTTTATTATTAATTAATAATGAAGTACGCATTTTATATCAAAGTGCTGGGTGCTTTTTATTTATTTAAAAAACATAATATACAAAATGAATAATTACAGTAATAATAACATCTTTCTTTATGTTGAAAAGGTAGCAAACGTTTGATTAAAGGTCGCATTTGGAATTTATTACCACTTAACATCCGGTGGGGTAGAGTCATATTCCTACCTGGCTATATAAAAAAAATCAAACATAGCCCGCGTGATAGTAAAGGGAAATAAAAAGTCTATCAATAATAAGGTTCCCTTACAGTTAAAGCTACACATGGGACCAGTGCGGATTTGTATGACACAACAATTTTACAATTATCAAATTGGATGCCTTTGTATGACTTGCGGCTTATGGAAACCTAAGTAATCTTTCCGATACCAAATCAAAAAACGATGTAATATCAAATGCAACCTGCGAACAGACCGCGAATAATTTTCATTAATCGGTCGCTTTCGAATGAATCGATTGACACTTTTAAAACCTCTTTGTGTAGTATCTCACAAACATTAAATTACAGGTGACTTAAACATCAACATCATTTAAAGACAATATAACTAGAAAAAATCTACGCGGACCAGGCAGAAGACGGGACTCGAACCCGCACCCTTCGCTATCCGGGCGAATGCACTGACCAGGGCCGCGGTAGCATAATTGGTCAGTGCATTCGCCCAGATAGCGAAGGGTGCGGGTTCGAGTCCCGTCTGCTGCCTGGTCCGCGTGGATATTTTTCTAGTTATATTTTCTTTAGATTTAAACATCAAGCAGTTACATGCTTAAAAAATAAAAAATATGTCAACATCATTTCCCAATCAACTGACTCATAATCCAATATAATCAGAATGTCTTGACTCTTCAGCATTTCATGGTTATTTGCCTGGTCATACACTACCAACCCGTGGACCTAACTGCCTAGATCACGTATTCCTAAAAACTATTTTTCCCTCAACCACACTTGTTTTAGACTCTACAGTAACATACCGTTTTGCTGTAATAGAATGTTTGCAAAACTGCCAACCATGTAACTTAAATCATACTTATATTGTTTTAAACTTTCATGGTCACTAACATTATAACTATTAACGGGATTGTTTCCCGATCATACCTGCCATGATCAACGGAGTAACGTAGTTACACATACAAAAGAGAGAATGTTGGGCACATATATAAAATTTAGCAATTTGGTTTGATTAAAAAAAACTAACAAAAATAAAACCCTCCTTTTCGTTAGATCAAACATAAAAATCCTGTATTGAAAAATTAACAGAATTTTTAACAGAAGTCTGTTTGGCGCGGCGCCGGCTAAAACGTTTGTGTTTCCGGTTTTATGAAGTAGGTTTATTTACACCAGCAGCTCGATGGTGAATAGCGCGTTCGGCCTGCGATCGTGGAGGTTCGGCAACTTTCGCAATGGTCGGTCATAGGATGGGTGACCGGAAACTTATTATCTCGAGCTCCTCCGTGGCTTAGAAGGCACGCAAAGCCGTTAGTCTCGGCCCAATCTCCCTATTTCATCCATAGGATAATGATGTTTATAATATATCTATAATATAAAATGCTCGTGTCACGGAGCGGTGTGCGTAATTGAACTACTCCGAAACGGCTCGACCGATTGTATATGAATATTCAGTAGGTCTGAGAATCGGACAGCATCTATTTTTCATCCCCCTAAATGTTAACGGTGGTCCACCCTCTTTTTTTTTGAACATTTTTTTTGTTTTCCAACCCTTATTTTTTTTATGGCAGTACGAACTTCGCTGGGTCAGCTAGTAATATATATATAGTAGTTTTCAATGGTACCTCTAAACTTTCAGACTTGTTTCGGCACAAGAGTTTACATCCTAACACAAATGCGTGATCTAACGATGGTCGCGTCGGCTGCCGCGTGGATTTCATTATCTCTTCTGACAGTCCTCATTATCCAACTAAGAACCGCTTCCCAGTACATAGTTAGCGGTGTAAGTACCCTTGTCAATTTGTATTGAAGTAATTTATTTAATTTAAAGGGGTGGCAAACTAGTTAGGCCTTCTTGATAGTAAGCGGCAGGGATGTAACGGAGGTAAATTTATCGGAGCCGAAGTCGGAGTTTTTAAATTTGATTAATCGGAGTCGGAGTCAGAGTCGGGGTCAGAAGTCAGAAGTGGTCAAAAGAGAAATATTTTTGCATTTAAGAAAAAATAAAATTATCATTCAGTCAACCCTTTTTTCATTTTAATAAATAAAATAACCTTTTTTCATTTAAATTTACTTATTATTAACACAGACACCCAACGCGACGGGTATGAACCAGTTCCTAACGGTCGACGCAGGCTGCCGTCGCTATTTGCTATGCTTCGACCTCCGATTTAAACCTCCGATTTTAAAGTTTCCGAACCGAAGGTATAATAATAATCAGAAGTTCCGACTTAACGGAATCGTAGTCGAAGCCCCGTAACATCCCTGGTAAGCGGCCACCATAGCCTAAATATAAACGCTTGAGATTTCGTCGCCTGCCTTGAACCAATCTCCTGCCCTGGAACCTTACACACAAACATAAACACTTATTCTTTTCCTATGTAAATGTAACTTCTTAGCTTATGTAAGTGACCTTTGGCCTGTTGTGAGCCTATCACTTCCAATGTCGATACGAGTCACAATACAGTTACATGTCCATTCCCAATAAGGGTAGCAAGCAGACATAATAAGGCTATCACAAAAGGCTACCTCTCTGTTGCTTTGCCATATGTTCCTGAAATAATTTTATGCTGTATAACATTTCAACGAACTAGCTACTTGGCATTGCTGTGTGAGCGGACGAACGCTTCTGCCTTTCTACGAATAAAGTACTTATATAAACTACTACTTAAATTCATTATTGTACTTATGAACACTAGCTCTTATATTATTATCGACATTTATTATTAAGTCTCCGTTTTTGGTCGATCCAACGGAATAATTAATTTATTGTAAACTTACTTATGAACAATCGTTTTTTTTATATTCTTATGGACATTTATTATTTATTCTCCGTTGTTGGTCCGTTGCTCTGACGGGATGTTTATATTATGAATATGATTCATATGTGATAGTGGTGATTCTCATAGAATAGTGTGATGTTAGATGGAAATAATAACTTAATTAAATTGGATCATTATGAAATGTATTTTTTTATCAGATTTTCCTCCTTATGATGAAGTTTTGAAGCTTTATGGTTCCGTATCCAAAGATTAATGATGAAACCTTTTAATTGTCTATTTCCGTCTGTCTGTGTAAAAGTTACAAAACAGGCGGTCTCTATCATAATTTGTTGACATGGTACGTAATATACAAAACGGTTGGTTTTGCGAATGGCCATCGCAGCTTTCAGTTTATCAAACTTAAAAAAGCTTTTAGGAATAAACTTAAGCATTAAACACGAAAAAATGAAATATGTTTTTATTTTAGAATCTAGCCAATGTCTTATCGTGCAGTAAAAAGTACGGGCCACCGGATCCTGTTTATCGTAAGCGGCGGAGAAACTTCACCGAGACCCTACGAATACGGCGGTGTGCACACAGCTGCAAAGTAATAGATGTAAGTATTTGGTTTCAGATGAATTGAGAAAAAAAAATCCTATCCTAAGGGTGGGACAATTGGGGTAATTATTCACTCAAAGATTTGATATTTTAAAATTTAAGATATATTAATGATCTTTGTTCATTGATTGTTTGGCGCTGACTCAAAATTACTCAGGTATACTTACATGAGTTTAAGAACTTAGTTATTAAGGTTAAAAAAAAGTTCATTCTTTCTCCGAAACGAACTTTAGATAACGAAGTTCAAACTAAATTTAATGTCGTCAATTTAAGGTTATACTTAATTTGAACGATAAACTATAAAATTGTAGCTTTCCTTGAGAAGGCTTAGAAAATCTACATCTCAATCTACATAAACCTTCACATTCATAATAATAAGTAGGATATTAGGATTTTCAGATAATAATAATTTCAGTGTCACATGTCTCTTAAATAAAGTGTCTGCGCTTACCTAACTTTTATCGGCAGTAAATTATGTTCTGTCTGAATGTGTGTACTGTGCTTAAGAAATCACGAGTGCGAGACGACTGTATTTTATATACCACGACGAAGTTTTGACCGCTATTAAGAAATCCCGACGAGTAAGGTTAGTTAAGTAAACCAGAACTGTCACCGCAGCAACACGCAAACCGACACGGAGGGAAGTAACTTCGCCTGGTAAAACTTACCGTGAAACCGGGTAGTTGTATTTAATCCGCATTGTCATTGAAATGGTATTCGAAAGGAGTAAAGATAAAGGTTTTTGCTATTGCTAGTTACTTTTGCGTAGACGGCAAGAAAATGGTGCAGTTTCATGACACCACTATGCAAATGAAAGTTTTAAAGTGTTTTGCATTGCCTCAGTTTTTGAAGAGAAACTTTTTTTCGGCCGGGGTGTAAATGGAAAAATCCTATGGAAACGGAACGGATGAAACGGAAATGCGAGTGAGCGAATGCGTCACACGACTATACTCGTATAAAGTCGCGTGTGTGTGTGTGTGTGTGTATGGGATGTGTGCGCAGCTCTTCCCAACGAGCATGAAAGTTGGAGGGTCACTCGGTGAATGCTGAAACGCTACGAGCGTCACACGCGACAATATATATATATAAATATATATATATATGAGTGATGCGTACGGTGCTATATACTCGTATGCCTTATCCTAATGTTAGGTTATTTAAGAAAAGAAGTTTCCATTCTGATGTGTGGTCTAGTGGACACAATTTTTTTATACTTGGTTGATGTTACTCTGAAAGTTAAAAATAAAAAAAAGTACTTTCTCGACTGGGAATAGAACTCGGGTCGCCCACGTGGCAGACGAACTTACTACCACTGAATCACTGAGTTTTATATATATAGATGATAAATCTATATATATAAAACTCAAAGGTGACTGACTGACATAGTGATCTATCAACGCACAGACCAAACCACTGGACGGATCGGCCTGAAATTTGGCATGTAGGTAGATGTTATGACGTAGGCATCCGCTAAGAAAGAATTTTGATCAATTCTACCCCCAAGGGGATAAAATAGGGAATGAAAGTATGTATGAATCTTTGTCAATTTTGAACCGATCGGGCTGAGACTTTGCATGCAGGTATAAGAAGAATCATAGATGAATGTCAGTGTATAATACAAACCTGAGAACAAAAACTGTAGTCTACACTTCAGCTCTACACCGAAGCGAAGAGAAGGCGGGCCGCTAGCTTTTTAATAAGAATAAAAATGTAATCTGACATGCTTAAGACGAACAAAAAATAATCTATTTTATATTTCGATGCAATCTTTTCAAAGTTTCAGAGGTACCTTCCTCTGAATTCCAGTACTATAATGATTGGAAATATTTGCTTATTGCAATATCATAAGAATCGGTGTTGAGACAAAAAAAAATTACATGAGCACTCATATCGTCAGTATGATAGCGCAAAATATGTAATACAAATACTCATCATCATCATCATTAGCCTATTAATGTCCCCACTGCTGGGGCACAGGCCTTCTCTATGGATGGAATAGGGAGATTGGGCCATGACCCACCACGCGGGTCCAGTGCGGATTGGCACCCGCCAATCCGCTAACGACTGCAGATGCAGCCAGGACCAACGGCTTATTGTGTCTTCCGAAGCTCGGAGGAACTCGAGATAGAAGATTTTTGGTCACCTATCCAATGACTGACCACTGCGAAAGTTGCAACTTCAACGATCGCAGTCGAACACGCTAACCACTCAACAAATACTCGTAAATTGGTAATAGGTCAGCTGTTTTGTACCAGCAAATGTAGTTCGACGTTATGAATTAGGTATTGGATTTTGCCATTTGCTTTGATGGTAGTAAAATGTGTTAACTGAAATGATGTGAATGCGTGGGCCAGCAATTTGCAGTGGATCGTACAGATTATTATTGGTATCGGTGGTTGAATGCGATACATTCAACCAACCAAATTTGTCATGCAGGTAGATGTTATGGCGTAGGCATCCGCTAAGAAAGGATTTTGATCAATTCTATCCCCAAGGGGATAAAATAGGGAATGAAAGTTTGTATGAAACTTTGTCAATTTTAAACCGATCGGGCTGCGACTTTGCATGCAGGTATAAGAAGAGTCATAGATGAATGTCATTGTGTATAATACAAGCCTGAGAACGAAAACTGTAGTCTACACTTCAGCTCTACACCGTAGCGAAGCGAGGGCGGGCCGCTAGTTAAATAATAAAAATATCTAGACAGCAAAACTTTGATGGGCCCCTTACTGCAGTTTCATTATTGGAACTGACTGTTAAAGTGCGCAACTTGTGCACGAAAAAGTTTTCACTTAAAAAATATTTTTAAATTTCAGGCTATGGGCGATATAATATTTTACCATTTCCCTATCAAATTCAATTTATTAAATCCATTTTTTTCATAACACTGGTCAATACAATATTAGAACTTTTTTTGACACATGAAAAGTTTTATCAAATTTTGAATGTATTCGGGTATTAAATGACGTTGGTACTGGGGCCACAAAGCTATAGTAAACTAGCTGTGCCGCGCGGTGTTACCCGCAGTTTATTAGGGATATTTTCCCGCAGTGAAACGTAGCCTATGTGTTAACCCAAGGTGTCAGCACACTCCATACCAAATTTTATTAAAAAAAAGTAACAAAAATACACAGTCACAAACATTCGCCTTTATAATATTAGTGTCAATAGTGTGTTACTTATTGTGGGCCCCCGTTCCCGTAATTAGTGTGATTAACACGTCAGGTTTTCATATGACGTCAATACATATTTTTTCTTAAATGTGTTTTTGATGTCTAAACAGTAGGACGCGGCATTCCTAAACTTTTTTTTAATCTGTTTTTTATATTTTTTATTTTATAGTCATAATTGTTTTATCATTTACATTTGTAATGGAAACTGACTTCATGAATTATCTCACATTGAAGTCATTATTCAAATTGATGACTCTGTATATAATACAGTGAGAAAAAAACAGCCCTTGCTGAGTTTCTTGTCGGTTTTTCTCAGTACAAGGTCTCCCGCCGTAGATTTGCGAAACGATGGCGTAGCTTTTCGACATTCACAAGTGCTTGTAACAGCTTAGACTGAATAAACGATATTGAATTTTGAATTTTAAAAGTACTTCCTGCCTACCACCAGATAAATTACTACCTACCTGCTACCTTTGGATAAATTATTACTTCATGCATTCACTAATTAAATAAAGCACAGTCTCAACAGAGTTAATAAGTAGTTTTGGATCTTTTACAGTGTTTTTAAGTGTTTTATTTAATGTCTCGCTTAACCAGTCTTCAATTCCCTTGACACCTCTTCTTCATTATGGAAATGCCCCGATGAAAATATAAAACAAAATCTTTTGCACTTTTCTATATGTGTATATTTTTTTTACAGGACATGCTGGACTGCAACCACTTGCCGATAACATCCAAATATACGACGGGATTGTACTCTGAATCTTCTTCTATGCAGAAAATATACGAAGCCGGCACTTCTAAACAACCGATTGCAACCATAGAATCTCAACATAGTGGGAACTATCGTCAATGATATTTGCTACATTATATATACTATTTTGTAAGCATTGTTAAATATCGTGAATTATAATATTATTATGTCATTGCTTATTTTACTTATTTGACGTAAAAACCAATAAAGTATAAATAAAAGAAACATTTCCTTTTCGTGGCATCTTTACCTTGTTAAGTTAGTTTTCATGACTCCAAGGAGTAAGATATTAAAGTTGGGTCATTATAATCAGCTCCTATCTCCCCACTGGGGAGGGGCGCTTCATAAAGAAGGCCAGTAGGCTTTCTTCATCATGCAAAAGACATATTAGGCCATGACACCACGCAACACTTTTTTAATTAACTATCTAATACATTCTTCACCTACACTTAACGTGAGGTGGGGTGGGACAAATTTTTGCGACTTGGTTTTGTTTAAGAAAAGCCTTAGTACAACTTATTATAAGTCGATATTTCTAAAGAGAGTACTCAAAAGTGTATATGCCAAAACGAATGAGAAAACTAGAAACTATGAAAATTTTAGAATGCATTGTCGCCGGCTGTGTTTCTGGACCAATACTAACCGAAATCTTCAAAAAGAGCGTCTATCCTTAGAGGATGGCATTGCATTTGTGATACTCCTGGAGGCCTACTCTAACTCGACGAAAAACGAAACTTCGATCTTAACTTCGCACTTTTCTTATTATGTTACTGGTTAGTTTTTAATTATAATAATATTCGTCGTCAGATTATAGATAGAGGTGTAGATTTTCTAAGCCTACTCAAAGAAAGCTTTAATTTGATAGTTTATCGTTCCAATTAAGTATAACCTTAAATTGACGAAATTAAATTTCGTTTGAACTTCGTTATCGAAAGTTCGTTTCGGAGAAAGAGAGTAGACCCCTGGTGTTGAAGGTTTCTATGGGTGACGCTGATCAAATAGTATCAGGTGAGCTGTCAGCTCGTATGCCCTATATACTTAATATTACAGAGCTGAAGAGTTTGTTTGTTGAACGCTCTAATCTTAGGAACTACTGGTTCGATGTAAAAAAATATTTCTGTTGGATAGTGCATTCATAGAGGAAGGCTATATAACATCACGCTACGACGAGTAGGAGCGGAGCATCGATGAAAAATATAGCGAAAACAGAAAAAAAAATCCATTTGAGCACTTTTTTTTTCTTTTTTACAGTTAGGTCCGACAAATGACTTCACCCCACCTGATGTTAAGTGATGGTGAAGTCCAGACGTGAACATAGCTGGTACAGCAGTTCTACCTGCCAGCCATCCTCACCATGCCTGCATGTTGCTTCTTCACGCCTCTTTTAAAGGATCCCAGGTTGTAAGATGGAGGGAACACGTGAGCAGGCAAAGCATTCCATTTACGGATAGTGGGACAAAGAAATGTTTCCGTTGTTGAACTTCCGTTGCGTGCACTGCGTAAATGGTTAAAGATACACAAAAATCATGTATGACGAAATTGTTCCCCTTTAAAAGCTCTATAGTCTGCGGCAGCACAATATGTCAATTTTTTAATTCAGACTCACTATATCTTTTTCCTCAAGGACATTCATCTACTGTGGCGACAGATGACCCGGCGGATGTCGGTTTTTTTATATATTACTAGATAGTTATATATAAAAAAACCGACCAAGTGCGAGTCGGACTCGCACACCGAGGGTTCCGTACAAGCCCAATTTAATACGTCCTTAAAAATTTTATACCACTTTAAAATTTTCAACAATATTATTTATTTATACGATGTAACTAAAAATTTACGGTTTTCGCAATTTTTCCTTTATCTGTACTATAAGACGTTACTTCGTACCAAATTTCAAGATTCTAAGTAGGATTTGATTCCCGTGAGAGTTTCGAAAATTTGCAGAAATTTGCGGTATAAACGGCTGTAACTTTTGATTGGTTTGGCTTAGAAGTTTGATTTTTTCACAGCTCCAAGGAACAGTAGACATGAGTATTAGATATGAAATTCAGTTTGATACCTCACGCGTTCCTGAGAAAAACGGACCTGACAGACGGACGGACGGACAACAAAGTGATCCTATATGGGTTCCGTTTTTTTCTTTTGAGGTACGGAACCCTAAAAAGATAGAACTTTTAAAAGCATTAAGTGATCTGGTATAATTACCAGATCACAACCATTTGTTAAGCATCACTGAATATTTGCAACTCTGATTTCAGTTAACAAGCTACATTTGATTGTCGAGCCTGCATTTTGATCATAACATAAGGTTATTTGATCTGTACTTAGAAGCCTGCAGAATCTCTATGATCTATCTATATCGAGTACCTATTACGAGTCGAGTATGCAACTTGAGCCACTATAGTCCAAGATCCCAAGGCTGCCAGGCCAGACGTTACTGATTTTCTGATGGACAAAATATGGATAATCGAGTAGAATACTGTAGATATGGTGGCACAGGTACGTATAAATTTTACTTACTTTTAGTCTGAGAGCTAATGCTAAACTTACCTGTGTTGTAAAGAATTATAAAGAAGCTTTTATCGCCAGTATTGATTATAGACAGTCAGAAGTTCGTGTTTTTTGCTTATGAAATTTAAAGTGGCTGTCAGTATTCATTTCAAATTGTTTACAATATTATTCAGAACATACGTAAGAATCTCCTCAGACTGTAAGTAAAGTGAGTAAAATTTTTATGTACCTGTGCCATCTCATACCTGCAAATTGGCCCGTAGCTCAATATAGCAAGTATTCAAACGTTCATAGTACACACCTGTTACTAATCGATTTTCCATATTCAGTCCATCAGAAAAAAGTAAGGTCTAGCGGCCTTGGGATCTAACTTTACTAGGTTTTAGGATGACGTGTCCAAAGGTTGACAAAACGGGATTCTATTTATATGCCTCAGTTGTCTGTCTATCATTGGGCTGTATCTGTTAAACGGATATAGGTAGACACCTAAAAATTTTCATATAATGCGTGCCACTATATCTTAGCAAACAATAAAAACAAATTAATGGTATTAGATAAAACACTTTTTGAACAGGTCCGAAGCGCGATTTGAGGGTTCTGTAGTCCTGGCATCCTTGCCTTCCTACCCTTATAGTTTCGTCATGTCGGTCTGTCTGTCCATCCCCGTTTTTGCTTGGAGACTGTTATCTCTTGAGAGCTGTTAATTTGTGGAGATATGTATATCAATCATGCCGCCAAAACGGTAGAATAAAATTTTAAAAATATTTTTTTAGGGTGTCTTCCTTACAAGTAACCTGGGATTTTTTTCATCGTCTACACCATCGTGTGGGGTATTGTTTGATAGATCCTTTGAAATTCTTAAGACGTTCCTAGGACTATTATTTGATTTAGGTGTCCGTTTGCGAAATATAGAACTTTAAAGTGTTAATTTTTGTTCGAGTAGAGCGTCCCCCCCCTCTAAAATCCAAACTTTGGGCTTAAAAAACCTGGAAAAATTCATGACAATACAGCTTTTCATGAAAATTATATATATAATATAGGTTAGATTTGTAAATTTCAGAGTAATTAATAGTCGTTCAACTTTCGTTAAAGAAAATTTCTTACCTATTGAAAATTCCTTAGAATAATAAATAAATAGTGACAAAATGAAGTTATTATAGCGTAAAGCCTTGCTTTAAAATATAAAATCGATAAAACTCTATTCAAAAAAATATTTTTGTAATTTCCGTTTAGTCCTTAAAATAAAGTCACCTGCTCAAATATATTGTGGTTACGACAGGCAACTACGGACACTGCGCCACTCGCACTTGGCCGGTTTTTGTTATAAATTATTGCGACCATGAAACCTTTGATCAAATAATAAAAACATTAATACCATCTTAATTATTCCACTTTTCCTCTCATTATGGTACCCTTCTTAACCGAGGGAAAATAGTTACGCTAATGGCAGTTATGAGCTCACGGGATCCAAGTAGGTAAGTAGTTATATTGGTACACCACACAATTATTTCGAAATGGCACAATATAAGGTGCGAACCCAGGAGTAGGTACTTACGTCTGTCTAAACATCACGTTCAAAGCCACTTTAAGCTCTGTGTTGCCATATTTGAATTAGATCGTTGTCAAAATAGCGACAGGTTGCCAGTCCAACAAATAAGACTTAGGTCACACTACAAAGAGTCTTGTTTTGTGCACAGAGTCATGCTACTCGTTTACTGCCAGTTTTAATGAATGTAACATAAATCAACTTCCAGTAAAAAAGGTAAGATTATTCTTGTCTCGCTACTTAGCAACAGCTGTTATTTTAATCTGAATAGTCGAAATATCCAGCCCAACGATATTAAATACTCTAGATACACCAACACGAACAAAATCATACCCGAAACCTGCCCAAAAGGTACATTAGACGATCCACGGAGCTCTGTAAGATGATTGCGTTGTCAAAAATAAGATAACACATTATTTAAACATTGAAAGTCGCCCTTAATGCATACTTTAAGCACAGCGGTGACACTCTCTGTACGTGAGAGTTTCAGCGTCAGTGACCTTGAGCAGGAGCGTGTATGCGCTAGGGTTAAACCGAATTGGAATTTAGACTTGTGCCAATGAATATTTATGCATAGTAAGTTATTAAATGTAAACTGATTCAAGGATACTGGGGTAAGTAATGAAGAAATTTAATCTTTTAATATAGGTACTATAACAAATTGCTAATTTTTATATATTTTCTCCTTTTTCGATTCGTTTTATAATTCTTATTATTATCTAAATAATAATAAGATTGCGTAGCGTAGTGCATAGCGCACAGTCTGTGCGTGCAATGCAGTGCAACGCTATTATTTTACTATTTCGCTACTGCCATGCCTTCGGTTGAGGCAGCCGGCGACTGCCCTCTCCACGCCCCGCGCGCCGCGCAACGCTCCCGCGCACCTCCAGACACCCACACATAGACGCGGGCGATTTTACGAGCACACATGCTTAAGTGACGCTTCTTTTCGCGTAGTGTATATATTCTGTGCTTTAAGGTCATAATAAAATGCATGCGTCAAAGAGTTATGACAGTCCGAAACGCAAGCTTGTAAAATTTTACAACATTGCTATATGCGGAAGAATATAGACTTTATTTCTTTGCCTCTAGGCATAATTCTGGATGCGCTGTTAGCAATAAAAAGGTACGGACTGCGAGGAAAAGAGACGTCTATATAACCGACCATGCATTTGAACATCACAAATATTTTCTATTAAATCAGTTTATAGTTAGTATTAGAACAAACTTTTCTTCAAATGCGTTAAATTAACAAACATTCTAAAGAAAAGTTTTACTAGCAGAAATCCACGCGGACCAGGACCACTTGTCGAAAAAACGACACTTTACAGTGTAAAAGTATTTTTTTCGCATTATTTCACGGAGCTATGCGGCATGTTGACTTTTCAACGGTCCGCGCCTGACTGTGACACAAAACCAAGAACTGCTTGAGTGGAGTTCAAGCACTTCTTGATTGGGCAAATTTTGAGCGGACGTAGTGTATCTAGGGTATTTAATATCGTTAATCCAGGCAATTATGCTCTAATCTTGGATTAACACAAAATTGATTTAATCTATGGCTCTAATATTCCCTTTTTCTTACTGGATGATGTGTATTGAAAGTGGCCGGTAGTGGCTAATCGTAGTAAACAAAACATAATGCTAACGTGACGCGCCTATCTGTCTTGCATTTACATAGTTACTCTGGCATCTAACTTAGCTTGGCAGTATAGTAGAAGGACCTCAGTTTAAAATATTTTCTTAAATTACCCTCCAAACTTAGGCAGATGAAGTATACGTTTATCTTTCATTCTCAGACTAGCATGGTATGTTTAAGGCACAGGCAGCCTCACATCAAGTTACCACTGTCAGACGTTCTCATTAAATAACGAATCTTAAACCATGTGAAATTCAGAGTCAGATGGGGAAATTACTGACTTGAGTAAATTGACTTGTGACTGTATGTACTCGGTATGTTATAAGAAGTGGTCTGATTTTATTCGTTTCCAATCGGGTTTGGATTGTGCTAGATATAAGAACGTAAAGTTTGAATGAAAATAAATATTCGAAATTTTCAGAGGTTTATCGCTTGCACAACCAAAAATGATTCGTTGAAAATATAGAGGAATATTGCTAGAAATGTTGATAGCTTGAAATTTATTTTACAACATGGAGTTCAGTTATTGTGTTCCTGTATAATACCTTTAAAAATGCTTCATTTAAATAGCGGTACTGACATTTTGAATCTCCATTTATTGATTGAACAAGGATCGGGTTTCGTGGTAAATTCACCGGCAATTTATTCTCTTAATTAAGTATATTATAATGACCCTCTATGTTACTTCAATTAAAGAAATAATAATTGGTAGCATAATGGATCGATTTAAAATAAAAAAAAGTCTGTGCCGAAACAGCGAGGTGAGCAAAATAATAAACAAAAGGAGAAAACATTGGCAGTAAATTATCAGAAACCTACAAATAAAACGAAAGATGAATTCAAAACTGAGAGGGTGTATATTTGCATAAAATTATTTGGCGGGTGGGGTAGGCGCTATTCATTGCGCCTACCATCGCCGTCTCCTCTAATGAATGTTTGTCGACATAATACTTACAATCAAACACAATGAGCTCGCTAAATTACCTGCACGTCTGGATGAATCCAGCGGGCTATGACCAGCGGGCCATTCTTCCGTATAAATATAATGTACGAACAAAGGTGAGATTTTTATCCCGATGATTTTATTTCCTGCGCTCCTACCTACTTAATAATGAAACAAAGCCGTGAAAATTACTTTCCGTTTCACCTAATGAGAAGCCCAGATAAAGTAAGTTCCTACTACTGTGTCTCAACGTTCAAGTTTTTGGTATCAGCAAAACGAAGCGGGAAAATTGTCCGGGCAAACTTCTGACATTAATAGCATTATCTTTTGGCTTATTTGATCAGATTTTATTAGAAAATAGTTTACCAAAGGCCGCCACACTCGGCATTGGAGTGAATGTAGTAAATTGAAAATGTCTCGCCGTTAATAAAACATGAGCGGTGGCGAGAATTCTATGCGTCCCGCCGTCAAGATGGAGCGTTTAGTGTTTGTCGCTCAATAAGGCTCCTAGTGAGGATCTGAGCGTCGTCATCGCGAGCGGAAGGAGGCAGCCGGGCCGCGGTCGATAGGTGTTAGAGCGCAGGCGCCAGCCTCTGCCGTGAAGGGGGGCCGGCGAAGACCGTCAGTTGGCCGGCAGGCTGAGACGCGGCCGCCGCCAGCAAGCGTCCGCTCGGGCGCAAGCGGACGCTTAACCATGCATACGAGCCGTTCTCGCGGCGTGCATAACTTTGCGCTCGTGGTTGCTCTCACGATCGCTTGGTTGTCTCACGCTGATCATGCCGCGTAAGTATTTAAAATAAAATCACAGGCACTCACAAAACTTTTTAAACAAGTTTCATGTGCCGAGACCAGTCTTTATGTCCCTCGCGTCTCACGCATCCGCGAAGCCATAGCTTACATGTAAATCTTTCGCAGCACCGAGTGCCAATCCAAAAGGAACGAGATTGATTCAGGAGTACACTTTAATATTTATAATTTAAAAGTTTTGTGTCATGTACAAGACTTTAACGAAGTTTGAAAAGTTCGTAATTTCGAAAGCTTACGTGATCGACCTAAATAATTTGAATAATTTATTCAATAAGCTCATTATATAATCATGTGTGCGAATTGCGGTAGAATCCTAATTTAATTTAAATAAACAAAGTTTTTATTTTGAAAATTATTTTAATATTGGGGTTAATTTGTATGATATTTTTACAAGAACCAGGTACTATTAAAATCGGTAATAATGTGTATAAATGGTCGACATGCTTTCTTACTTGAAATAATTTGTAACATTGACCGCCCCGAGAGTTTGGCAGATTTTTCTCTGCCAGAAAATGTCTACCTAATAGAGCAACAGGGAAAGCGAACGTTATATCAAAGTGATAGAAAGAGACAATCGACGATTTTTTGTGATGTGTACTACTGCATACCTACAGTTTAACAAAATGTGGTTAAAAAATCAAAAAGATTGTACCTATATAAAATCAAAAGTCACTTTTCAAATCCAAATTGATAGGAAGAATAAAATCAATCATAGTCCATTCGAGAGATTTCCTATAGGAAATCTTGACTCCACCCGACGACGGAAATATCGATGAAATTTGAACGAAATGAACTCATAAAATGTCAGACTAATATTGGATAGATTATTAATTTTCCAAGTTTACATTTTTGACTTAAAATATAAACTTACAATCATGATAATAATAATAATATTTTTCTGATTATTTACATGGAAATCTTTTAATAAATAATTTGTAAATAGCTATCACAATTGCTTTCTTCTTATAAGGTGATCGTGCTAAGATCTGATCGATAGTATAATATATACATATATTAGCAAGGTAGCACGAAATCGCGTACTCGATCATAGTTACTATCTCTTTAGATACCGCTATCACTTTTGTGACTTTTGATTTTAAGTTGTTGATTTTGACTCGAAACCTTAAACGCTGAATAATTCACTGCATATTCTTAATTTTCACACCTTGTTACATTTCATGGCACATTTCGGAAATCACGATTGCATATTAATCATAATGATTATTACTTTATTAATTCAATTATGTGTGTGTGCATCGTCCATTTCGATTATTTCCGAGGAGAATCTGAAATCATATTCTGTATTTTAATTTCCCTAACGAACTGGAAATGAAAGTGAAAAGCTTCCACGTGTCAGCTGCTTTTCGTGGAATCGCTAAAATCAGCAATGGCCATTGGTTGATTTTATTTTGCCCTTTTGAGCTGACATACCTTTGTGTTGAAGCGTCCGACAAATTTGTTCATGCGAAATGTATTGAAAACTGACGATGTGACCTTGCACACGTATTTCTGTCGTCTCTCATATATGGCATTGACACTTTATGCCTTTTCATGCATCCAATTCATTGAGTAGTCGGTATTTTGATGCATGAATAGGAAGTTTTTTCGACTTATTTTTTACTTATACTTATTGAGCTGTGATATAAAATACTATCAAATGGTGAGAGGTTTACGGAAGAGGTGACCGTGTTTTTTGAGTGAATAAGCGTCTTATATTAGGGCAGTAACACTTTGTGTTTTTTCAAGCATTTAATGCAATTCTTTCAAAAGTAGGTATATTGATGCATTCAGACGAAGGTCAGCATGAAAATGGGGAATGCAATGATGAAAAAAGGGAAGAGCTGTGTTGAATATTGAAAGAAATTTACAGTAGCGGTGATAGCGTATTCTGAGTGAATTAGTGTCAGAAGGCCAGAGCTTCCTATAATTTTTAGTGTCAGGGAACTAAAGATTGTTAAATTGTTGAAACAGGAAGAAGAAGTACAAAGATTGTGACAAGTCTCACTATCTTTGAAGAAGGATCCTATATGTGGAACTCCAAGTTCTGGTTGCGTGTCTGTAGAACTTAGTGTGAAGTACCTGTGAGATAAAAGTTTGACTACCATGTTTCACCAACTTGAGTTTTTGATCTAAGAAGAAGGACTCCTTCAATCGTTTCGTCGGTGAAAAGGAAAAACAAATGTAGCGCCATTTGGCTAATGTTCAGCAGCTACTTTAAATTTTAATATGAAATAATTATAACTGTTTTATTTTTTATTTTGTGAGCATATCATGTTTATTGTGATCTATATTACGTTTTCAAATTTCAATAAATTAAGGTCAATCATTTAAGGAAAAACTGGCGTTTCATTTAAAAGACATTTTGAGCTTGAGATCTGCTGGGAAAATCACTTCAAAGGCCACCGAGAAAAAAAATATTGAAAGGATAAATTATTTTATTCATCAAATCTCCATAAAAAATCAATGGTAACATTATTTTAAATATCAAACCAAATATAAATAATATACAAGTAAAAAATCTTCAATTAAAAATTGGAAGACGCTTTTATAATACTAAATAATTAAATTATATTTATCTGTTATTTTTTAGATCGGTAAAATTAATTTATTGACCATATGCAACTACGAAGTTTAAATGTTGTGCATATTTAATTTTTAGCTTTTTATTTGCTTAATTATGCGAAACTTGTACTGGGCTTGCAGAATTCTTAGCGGATATACATATATTCAAAGTTTATAAATTACCATGACTTGGGTCGGCCTCATACACAAACATTTACCCGTAGCGGGATTAGAACTCACGACCCCGGGTTCGGCAGCCAGGGATGGTAATCGCGTACCAAAACTTTGTGTTAACCGCTTTCTCCTAAATTATTGATTGCTAGAGTATACAATGGTCTCAAGTCAAGATTTAAAAAAACTATCATACATTTGGTCAAATTACTCCAGCATGTTATAGCTATTAACGGGATTGTTACCATGTAGGTACCTTGTTTTTTATGAGTCTCCGATATTTCGGCACTGTTGCAAGTGCTATGATCACGGAGTTACTAACTTAGTATATTGTTTTAAACTTTCATGGTCACTAACATTATAGCTGTTAACGGGATTGTTACCATGTAGGTACCTTGTTTTTTATTAGTCTCCGATATTTCGGCACTGTTGCAAGTGCCATGATCACGGAGTTACTAACTTAGTATATTGTTTTAAACTTTCATGGTCACTAACATTATAGCTGTTAACGGGATTGTTACCATGTAGGTACCTTGTTTTTTATTAGTCTCCGATATTTCGGCACTGTTGCAAGTGCCATGATCAGGGAGTTACTAACTTAGTATACTGTTTTAAACTTTCATGGTCACTAACATTATAGCTGTTAACGGAATTGTTACCATGTAGGTACCTTGTTTTTTATGAGTCTCCGATATTTCGGCACTGTTGCAAGTGCCATGATCACGGAGTTACTAACTTAGTATATTGTTTTAAACTTTCATGGTCACTAACATTATAGCTGTTAACGGGATTGTTACCATGTAGGTACCTTGTTTTTTATGAGTCTCCGATATTTCGGCACTGTTGCAAGTGCCATGATCACGGAGTTACTAACTTAGTATATTGTTTTAAACTTTCATGGTCACTAACATTATAGCTGTTAACGGGATTGTTACCATGTAGCACGGAGCACCCCCACTAGAGTCCGCATACAAGGGCAAGCGCTTACGCCAAGCTTAAGTAGTATATTACCTATGCGTGAGGCACGCCTATAAACGTCGCGATACATCGTTTCATTCGGTAACCGAGCGTTGGTCGAACTGCTTCTCTCGTTTTCGTGTTAAAAAACTGTAAAAAATGCCGTACTGTGCAATTAAATTGTGTGGAAAGTCGAGTACAACTTCCAGTCTTCAAAAAAATGGTATTACTTTTCACTGGTTAGTTTAAATGCATTACAAAAAGACAAAAATACTGTTATATTAAATTGCTGTTAATGTATTTATTTTTTGGTGAACGCGTTGATGTCTTTTTACACTATCCCTTTCTCGCATGGGCTACATCATATATGCTATCTCGCTCTCACACCGGCACGTGTATTGCTAGTGACTCAGACGCAGCTCATGTCTCAACGCGTAAGTTTGTCGATAAGTTTGTCAGCTATGCAAATGGAAAAAATAAATAAAAACTATTTATTTCATCGTATACAATAATAGATGTCATAAGTATACAACCAACAGTTTTTATTTTGATTGAAGTCAAACATATCCTAATAAAATTTTAAAAACGCGAAAATTTGTATGCATATTTGTTACTATTTCACGCTAAAACGGTTAAACGGATTTGTATGAAATTAAGTGCGCATAGTTTATGACCTAGATAAAGACATAGAATTAACGATACTAAATACCCTAGATACACCACGACCGCTCAAAATGTGTCCCAATATCTAAATAGTCTGTGGTCCCAATCAAGAAGTGCTTGAACTCCACTCAAGCACTTCTTAGTACACAGTCACACGCGGACCGTTGAAAAGTCAAGATGCCAAAGAGTTCCGTGAAAAAATGCAGAAAAATACTAATAGCACGTAAAGTGTCGTTCTTTCGACAGGTATCTAATTAATGTTTTTTAATTAACGCCTCTAAAGCAAATTTTATTGTTGTAATACTTACTATAAACTGATTTAATTTAAAATATTTGTGATATTCAAATGCATGGTCGGTTATTAGGCATTATATTGTTTTTGACCACGCGATCATCTTACGGACCTCCGTGGATCGTCCAATGTACCTTTTGGACACGTTTCGGCCACGATTTTGTTCGTATTGTTGTATTTAGGGTAGTTATTATCGTTGCATTAATACTTCTTGTCCTGGACGTGTTTTTTTTTTTGTGTTGCTTATATATAATTTAGTATGTAGTTACTAGTCGCGTCATGTAATTAGAACGCTGGAAGAAAGTGGAGAGGGTATGATTCCGCATTTGCG